GGTTTGTGTCAATATTAGGGACCTGCAAAAAAGGTTGGTTTCGGTTTGGTGTTTGATTGAAACCAACTAAACGGGGGGTCCCGAAGAAAGACACACCCATATCTTATGTTGACGAGCCTAAGCGTATCGAAGCAGGCGGCCTTGCAAGCGTTGATGCTGGCGCCGATGCAGACCGCGTCCACCTCAACGCCATCGAGGCTGAGCCTGACGTGCCACACGGATGTGATGGCACCAGCTTTCCCCTGAAACCAACCCCGAAAAAGGTACCCTCCAAAACAACACATCCGCATGTCATGGGTCAAGGGCATTTTCAAGAGGTATGGAGGTAAAACCACTTAATCTGGCGACCCCTCAGCTTCCTGTTCCTAAGCTAATTTCGGGGACCGGTTTAGGATAGTGGGACAAGCATTTGACTACTCGCAGGATCAACCAGGCTCATTTGGACGAGCTGTGATTTTTGTCTGTCCTGATTGTCTGATTTGCCCGGGAAACAGTCCGGGTGGGGCGAGCTGTGATTTTCTTACCCGTCCTGATTTTGCCGTCGAACGATGGGTGGGGCGTGCAGTGACTTTTACCCGTCTTGATTCGCTCAGGCAACAGGACGGGTTGGGCGGGCTGTGATTTCTTACTCCGAGCAAACGGGGAAGCCAACTTTTCTAAGTTGACCCCTCACCGAACCCCCCCCCCCCAGGCTCTGATCAAGGGGGTCCTAATTTTGAGTAAGGAACCCCTGGTTCAGATCGACATTATTAGCACTGATCTGGCGCATGTTGAGCTCGTGTGAGCCCATGATGTCTTGGATTTGAGCTCGCTCTAGGTGAGATCGCCATCATTTGACCATGTTATTTTCAGGTTCATTCTTCGGTTGGGTCCACCAGTGGATCCCTGAAAACACTTCCCCTGGTCTCGAGGCACTCAATTGGGCTTGCCACTCCTGGAGTTCAACGAGGGCCTCTCCCGTTGGAAGCCTCGGGTCAAATCAATCCCAGGAACTTGCGGGGATTCCATTCGAGGTGCTCATGTCTGGGTCTTGAAGGGGTTAAAACCAGGTGGGAAGAAGCTCGTGCTGAACAATGTGCACGACTCAATGTATGTGCTATTGTATATATATATATATAGATATATACACACATATGTATACATGTGTAGACATATATATATATATATATACTCAATAAGCATGTATATATATATACTCCTTTCGGTCTCCCTTCAAAGCAACTAAAACGAGGTGCCCTCAAAAAAAGCACACCCATATGTACAGGAACAATGTATGTGTTATTGTATATATACATATATGTATACATAAGTATATATATTTATATACTCAATAAGCATGTATATATATATATATATACTCCTTTCGGTCTCCCTTCAAAGCAACAAAAACGAGGTGCCCTCAAAAAACGCACACCCATATGTACAGGAACAATGTATGTGTTATTATATATATATATACATATATGTATACATATGTGTATATATATATATACTCAATAAGCATGTATTTTTATATATATATATACTCCTTTCGGTCTCCCTTCAAAGCAACAAAAACGAGGTGCCCTCAAAAAACGCACACTCATATGTACAGGAACAATGTATGTGCATTGTATATATATATATATACATACATATATACATATATGTATACATACGTATATATATATATATATATACATACTCAATAAGCATGTATTTATATATATACTCCTTTCGGTCTCCCTTCAAAGCAACAAAAACGAGGTGCCCTCAAAAAACGCACACTCATATGTACAGGAACAATGTATGTGTTATTGTATATATGCATATATGTATACATGTGTATATATATATATATACTCAATAAGCATGCGAGGTGCCCTCAGAAATCGCACACCCATATGTACAGGAAGTCCCACAAGGTCTGCTCTTGCATCCCAACTCTCGCCCTCCTCCTGAGCAGCTGCAGGGCCCTCCACCAGGTGGTTCGCGCGCAGAGAGCGGATGCCTCTGGGACTGGTTCGTTGGCTTGGCCAATGTTTAACCAACCCAGGAAATAGGTGTGACACTTGTTTGTTTCTTCTTCTTTTTTCGCGGGGGGTACCCTTTTTGGATGGTTTTAAAGGGTAACCAGAAGGAAACCATTTGGGGGTCCATTTCAACCTTTGGTTGGTTGGTTGGTTGCTTGGTTGGTTCGTTTGTTCGTTCATGAGTGAGTGACTGAGTGAGCGACCATCGGCAAGGCCGGTTTGGGAGCACTTTTGGTGCGTCACCAGGCTGGATTTACATCTGTACTTCCATCAGCATTTCGGGAAAGGCTAAGATATGGGGAGAGATGCCCATATCTAAAAGATAGAAAAGAGGTCAAAGACAAACCTTTGGGGTTGAAAATTAAAGGTCCTCTTGCGTGTTGGGTCGCTGCGATTTGCTCTACACAAGAAACACTTATCGGCGGATGTTCTAACGGTTTCCACTACCCTCCAAACCACTCCCAAACCCAGCAAGGCGAATTAACTCTATATGAAACCACGGTATAAAGGTTCTGCATCCTGCGAGTGCCTCAGGAGTAGTGGAAACTGCCTTAGAGATGTGGAAACCAGGAAAAAACCGCCTCTAGGTTTCACTCTATGCATACGCAGGGACAATCACACAAAACTGGAGGCTTGCAAACTCAGGGACCTCCTTTTGACTGGCCACAAGAAACCTCGTTTTCGAAATCATCCATGGGCCATTTGGGCATGAATCTTAACTCGGGAGCGTGTCCAAAATCTTAGCTACGTCGCTAAAAGTTGCCCAGGCCTGAGACTGCCCCGCAGGTTGGGGTTGGGCCCATTCCCAAGAAAGCTTTGGGTGTGTCTTCTGTTGAGCCCCAGTTGGGTTCTGTCTTTTGTTGTACGGACCCTGTTTTTAAAGGACCCCAGTTCTTTTGAGGCGACCCCATTTTTGGCCCAAACCCCATCGACCAGCCATTGACAGTCTCTCTGACTCGCAAGCCCCATCGACCTTTGTTTCTGCGTTTCCAAAAGCCAAAAGCAAACCGTACCAAAAGCTTGGAACATGTCTGCGCCTTTGTGCTGCCGTGGTCTGATCGATTCGACCGGCGCATGATCCTCACTTGGCCAGAAAACGTCTAAAGCAGAGAGTGCGCCCATTTGTGGTTTCAAAGGGAACCCAAAAGAAAGCCGTTGCGCGGTCCCGGGACTTGAGACACTCCCAAATGCTCATTGAAGTCCAACTCAGGGAGTGAGCCATTTCAGCCGCTGTTTATCTCTCTGAAGGCGTCATTCTCTTGCAAGCTCGGAAAGCTAGAAATTGGGGACCCCTATTTTAAACTCATCCAAAAGTGGCAACCAAAAGCGGTTTCTCTGCTTGAATGGCAAGGGACATTTAGGGAACCCTGGTGCAAAGGGAGGTTTCATATGGGTTCACCACGTGGCCCTTTCTCCCAAACGCCTCGGCGCGGGTGCGGCGGAGCGCTGAGCCTGAGAGTGGAGCTCAGCTTCCCCCGAACTGGGTGGCGTTTAACCCCATTTAGCGTGCCATTGAACTGTTGCTTTGCTAATTGGGACAAAGTTTCTGGCATTGTGGCCAAGTCATGGAAGACTGAAAAGGCTGCGGATTCTGTCGCAGTGGCCGCGCAGAGCCTTCATTGGTAGTTTGGATTAATTGGAAGTTTTCCATCTGTGTAACACATCACAAAGGCAAGCACCATTGGATAAAGTTTAGATCATCATATGTTTGGATCTGTTGGGGTTTGTTTCATATCGACAGTCGCAGCTGTCAACATCTCTCGCGCCGTGTGCCAAGGTCTCGCAGCTGAGTTCAGATCCTGCACGACCGAAAGCTTCCTGTTCTGAGATTTGAAATTCCCCTGGCAGCCTGGCAGCACTTTTTCGCCCCAAGGGAATCGTCTGGAGAAGGATTCGTGGATCGGGCAGTGAGACACGGTATCTTGTCCGGGAATTCCGCTGCCCCCGTGCAATGAATTGGGTAAATCAACCTTGAGTTTGGAGAGAGCTGTGATTTATGAAGGCCAATTGTTGCAAAGTTGCCCCTGATCCAGCATGTTCACTATGGATCACTATGGCGGAGCAATGCAGAACAGCTGTTGCCACTTCTTTCACACTTTCTTGATCACTCCATGCTCCAGGTTCCTACGTGGTGCGCCGCCAAAAAGTTCTGCACCAGGCATACTAATCAGATGTAGATGTCTCGGATGTCTTTTTCAGCCGCCGTGCGTCCGATTTGCGTTGTAGCCAGTTCACCGCAATGTACATCAAGGCAAATCCGATGAAAAGGCCTCAATCAAATGTGCAAAAGCTATCTATAGCCACTCCAGCACTCCAAGACATCACTTCGTCATGTTTATACCTGTAGCCCCAAATATGCCTCTCAATCCATCGCCCAAATCAGGTTCTGCCTTTAGTTTAGTTTAGTTGTTGATTTCATTCTTCGGGGGGATGGGTTGGGTTGAAGTCGGGTTTTGTGTGGTGGGGTGGGCCAGTAACGTTTGCTTGTCTTGCAACGTGGTTTCTTCTTCGTTATCAATATTGCTCTGATGCCACGCTGACGACGATGTGGTGAAGGGTGGGACGGTGACATCAGGTCGTAAACAGTTTTCGCACAGCGTCTTAAGGGTTGAATGTCTCAACGTCATGTTGAAAATCTGGGTGGTACCATCCTACCTTTGCAAAAAAAAAAGGGCTTTCCTGCTCTACTGTTAACCGCTTTCCTGCCCTACTGCCGACCTAATTTCGGCCCTACCCTACAGACACTACAATGCATGCGCAACGAAATATACAGTAGTGACACACCCACAGAGTTCGACGCAAAGCTTTGTAACTGCTCTTCAAAGGTGTGAGCAAACCCAACTATTTTTTTGCAACATGCCATCCACGGTTCTGACAACATTGCTTCAAAAGTCCTGTTCGCAAAAAGGACACATTGTTGCAGGATGTGGCAGGCAATGTGCACTGCGAAAACGCATGACGATGTTCGAGCCGATGGGGTGGTTGTCGACTTTTCGACTCCACCAAGCTACCTGGCACAAGCTCCCAGCGGTTCGTGCCAAACGCCTCCAGCACCATCCGTGAACCAAGGAGAAGACAAAGCAGAACTGCAAGGAAAATGAAGAGCGTCTGCAAATAGTCCTCTACCCAACAGGCCAACCCCATTGGAACTGTGGCAGCATTGTGTCAATTCAACCAAAATCATGAGAGAAAGTAGGGAAAGCCTCTGACGAGTCTGCAGCCAAGAGTCAACGATGACGGACCCATGCGCAGGCTTCGCAAAGCGATCGCAAAGAAGGATCATAACATTGATTGAAATTCGAATAATAAGGAAACCTCCAATCACTAGCGCTGCGACGAGATAGAGAAGCACAACGGCAAAAGGCGCTCCCTGCTTCGAAAGCGCAACGGAGAGGTCCAAGTGCAGACTAACAAAGGGAGACATAATCAACAGCGTATACGTCTCGGGCAATACACTGCGGGTCATCGGTCCAAGTAACTCTTCTCGCAGGGATCCCCTCACATAACTCACGAAGGCTTCTTTGCTTCCGTACAACTGGTCAATGGTGGCATATATAAATTCGCAGTCAGAGTCACTCACGCACCGCGCGGAATCCAACTCAAACTGCTGAAACTGAGAAAACAACTTATGTTTTTGCACGAAGCTTCTCCGAAGGCGATGGACAAGAACCAGAAAGGGTAAAGAGATGATGGGCAAAGCGAACAAAACTCTTGTAGACCCACCTGCACGGAGAACCATCTGCACACTTGCTGCACACAAGTTTGAGATGTAGAAAAGCACCACTGTGGTCTCGAGGAAAATTGGGGCCATCACAACCGTCCCATCAGGGTTGATCTTCTTGAAAGTGGCAAGTTCGAAGACCTGAGTGGACACTCGAGAAGACACGTTAACCTCACAAGAACATGTTATCCAGTGATGTTTAATCCCGACATACTGAACATATCTTGGTCCAACGACGGGTTATCATTCATCGGGGAATATCACGGCCAGGATGTGTGGCAAGGGGCGCACCACAGACGTGACAAGTACAGGTCGGTCCATACGATGCGCAACTCCTTCGACACCCGCAAGAAGCCTCCAATACCCCGAATACCTCGAGTCATCAGCGCCTCGTCTGATTGGCTAACGCAGGCAGCATCGATGAAGCACATGTCGCTTTTGCATCGCGGCAAGTACGGGGACAGCAAAAATCCCAAGGCTGTCCCGAGGAATCCAAGTATCATCGACCAAGGTCCCAAGGCGCAAACTTCTGAGAATGCGTCGGTGCTGGGAGAAAGTCTCAAGGGCAGGGGCAGCAAGTCCGCGTAAGACATTGCAGCTGCAGCGACATTTCCTTGGGGTTTGTGCACGAACCCAAAATCATGCATATCCGCCGACTACAGACCGCCAGACCGCATGTTGGACAAGAAATGCTGCTTTTCCTCCTTACCTGTTGCCCCGTGTACCACTGATCGATTTCCCAAACGGGGCCCTTCATGCAACGGGGTGTGGGACACAGTTTACAAACCTTGGGGTGTTCGATTCCGCGTCCCTAGAAAAGACATGAGCAAACAGAGTGGAAACGAAAGGTCCCTACTTGTGTCTTGTGGGGCATTTCCAACATGGCAGCGGAAATTGCAAACAAAAAGCCGCAGGCTCCCCAGCTAGTGAAAAGAATATGACCACATGGAGGCAAACCAAAGGCCCCCACTTTAGTCCCGCATCAACTATTGAAGAAGAAAGAACCACATGCAGGGGCCTTCACCAAGCAAGAAATGAAGTTGCATACAAAAACTACACGCATCCCTGGCTAGGGAAAAGAACATGAACAAACGGAGGCAAACCAAAGGTCACTGCTCAAGTTTTGCGCGGGCCTTTCAAAACAAAAGTGCGCAAACATCGAGCTTGACTGCATCGGCGGCACCCCTAGCCCTCAATCGTGGAGACCTCTCCCAAACAAGCTGAGGTAGCTGAAATCAAAACCTGTCTTGCGGTTAGCTTTTCATACTATGCGGGTCGGAGCAACCACCTCCCTTTGCTGTACTGCTTTGTAACATGCCTTGGTGTCAACAGCTGGCTGAATCTGTCGCGCTGCAAAACAAATCTGATCAACAGGCTAAGGCGAAAGGTCCCTACCCGTGTTCGCTGGGGACCTTTCAGAGCTGAGTTGTTGTTCCCATCTGTGTGCGTGGCGTGGCACGGCGTGCGTGGCACGGCGTGCGTGGCGTGGCGTGGCCGACGTGCGTGGCGTGACGTGGCCTGGCGCGGCGCGGTGTGGCGTGGCGTGGCGTTGCACGGCACCGCCCCCCGGCTCCAGGGCTGGAGCCGAGGGGCCAGTCGGGGCCGGCAGCCCTGGAATACAGACCAAAGAACACGAAGAGTCCAAGGGTTGGCAAAATTGGCCAAATTCTCTCCTGGGAAGATCAAAGCTGCCGCTCGTTATTGTAAGCCAAAGCGTCCCAGCAGCCACCCGGACAAAGCGCAGTTGCAGCCACTTTGCATCAAGAGCGACAACCATTTGGACCATCCTCCAGAAGCCCAGGTGTGCGAGACGAACACATCCTCAGTCACAACACGTCGTCTTCGTTCTTGGGCAACGAACGTACATCTGCTGGCAGCGGCAAAAGCAAATAGAGGCAAGCAGAGTTTTCAAGCCGTTTGCAATACGTGTATGCAGCCATGTCTATGGATCAAACTCTGGTGCCCCGCTGCCTGTTCAAAACTGCACAAAAGACTGTCCAGGGGCGTTGCTTCCCTGCGTGTGCCGTACGTTGCGCCGCCCACCGTCATAAATGTACTCGCAAGTAACCCATGATGCTCTACGCTCTGCATCTCTTGCACACATATTGACCCATTTTGATATTTTTTATTTCTACTTAAGGGTTTTGCATTAACACGAAGCCCCTGTTCCCAGAAGCCTCGCCACTTTTGAAACATTGGTTGCCCGAAACCTCTGGGAAGACAAGGTTTGGGCAGCCTATTTATTGGCTGAAACCCAAAAAGCATACGGTTTTCGCTTGGACTAGCATACACCCCAAATGGCGAAAAACCGGTCGATGATTGCACACCAGCGCCTCTGAAAGCACCCACGAAAGCCGTCAATCTCGCAAGAATGCGCCCGCACCGTCACCAGCAATCACAACAGCACCCCAAGCAGCATCCTCATACAGCACCTGCGCCAGCACCCCAAACTGCATGCTCCCTCGCACCGTGCCGTCAATCTCGCAAAAATGCGCCCGCGCCGTCACCCCGAACAGCACACCCAAACAGCACCTACACCAGCACCCCAAACTGCACGCCCCCCAGCACCCTCAGCTACCTGGGGAACAAAGAAAACCTTGACAGAATAGTGCTTCCGTCGAGGAGCTTTAAATGATGGCTCTGACTGCACTTTGAAAGAGCAGTATTGGTTCTTTGTTTCAGAATTTCTTTGTTTCAGCATTGGTACAGAAATCATAGATCCATCAAACATCCTCAAAAAACACATTGAACACATGCTGTGAGATTGCAGGTGCAAAATGTCATTCTCGGCTAGGAGAAAATATGCATTCAAGCACATGCACAGTGGTATTGGGGCAAGTAAAGTCAAGACGGACCATTGATGATCTGCAACAATTAGAATCGCGCTTTGTGGTCGAATGACATTCGACGTTTTTCGCTGCTGAGTATCCAATTCCTCCACATGTCTCGACCGGTGAAACGGGTCTTCCTGCGCCTCCACTCGCCTCGGCAAGTGAAAGTGGTGTCTTAGGAATTATTGGGATGTCTTGGGGCCCTCCAAGAGATGAACTTCCAACATCGTCCATCCATCAGAGAACAACTCCACAATATTTTCCAAGCAACCTCCCCCCAGCGATGCCCATGGGCTCAATTCCTCTCTCTTTGGGGATTGGCAAGATCTGCACCAAGCGAAAACTTGATCATTCCGATCAAGGTGCTGACGATTCCGCCAAAGGCTGCCTCCAGAACGGAAGGAATCCCGCAGCGAAATTCCGCGCAGAATCTCCCAGTCCGTGGTGTAAATTCGCTCTGCAACATACAAGTTCCAGGACAAGTCTGCCGCAACCCCTTTCTCGCGCATGCCAAATGCCGTAGTCAAGGAAGCCATGCCTCCTAGCCCGTTGACTGTCATTTCTGGTGGTTGGTCCGGAATTTCGACATCAGACCATGATGTCAGATCATGTGCCACCGCACCCTGACGACTTCCCGTGAGGTCAGGCTCTTGCTGACAGCAGTCAGAGCAGCTCATGGGAAAGCACTCAGCTTGAAAGCGAAGAAAATATGCGGCTTGAGCCCATGAAGAAACCCAGGTGCGATGAGCCAATCTCAAGGAGCGCCTAATCTCTGCAACACAGCTCGCATCCAGCATGTTTCCACTCGCATGAAGTCATGCTTTTCTGAGGGAGTCTCGTGGAAATTGTTGAATTCACCACCCAGAACGATCCTGATCTTCAACAACTCAACTGTCCGTGCTTCCAACACAAGGACCGCTGATGGGATTTACTTTTGCTAAAGGTCATCCCAACGTTTAGTGGGATCATAAATCCTCGACTTCCCACTAATTGGTTCAGATTGGTGAGTTGGATGGGGTTCCCCGTTGGTGTCCCATTTACGCTCTACAAGAAGAAACGGTCCAAATCCAGAAACCACCAACGCAACTTCAGGATTATCTAATCGGGCTCGGGTGAGTAATGGGTACTACTCATGTAAAAGCGAGCAAGGCTCGTGAGGCAAAATACGCTAGTTACAGTCTGCCAAAGGGACAGGGCCTAGCAAAAGGCCACTTTGCATCAATGACAACGCTGTGCGAGATAAGAACATGTCCTCAGTTCCCAGTCGAATCTCGATGCAGATTTGAAGCAAGGATGAACTCTCGATTGAAAAAGCGAATCAAAGGTCACTGCACCTGTATGCACGATGGACTTCTCATTCCTCACCCCACAGGTCACAAGCAGAGGCATGAGCCAAAGTTTAGTGGATAAAGTTCCTAGAAGTTCCTAGCTATTTTATCATAGTTTCCTACGTTTGGGGTATGTGTCACTCTCCACTGTGGCAGCTCTCGTGCCTTATGCTAACCAAGATCAGATCCTGATTTGAAATGCCTGACCACATCTCTTTTTTCGCGTCCAGGACAAACCTGGGACGTCTAGGAAAAGATTCGTGAAACCTCAGAGGGCGAGACAACCTTTGTCCGGGAATATCTGCTGCCCCAATTCGATGCATGAGTTTGGAGTGAGTTGTGATTTATGAAGGCCAATTGTTGCAAAGTTGCCCCTGATCCAGCATGTTCACTATGGATCACTATGGCGGAGCAATGCAGAACAGCTGTTGTCACTTCCTTGATCACTCCATACTCCAGGTTCCTACGTGGTGTGCCGCCAAAAAAGTTCTGCACAAGGCATACTAATCAGATGTAGATGTCTCGGATGTCTTTTTCAGCCGCCGTGCGTCCGATTTGCGTTGTAGCCAGTTCACCGCAATGTACATCAAGGCAAATCCGATGAAAAGGCCTCAATCAAATGTGCAAAAGCTATCTATAGCCACTCCAGCGCTGCAAAACATCGCTTTGTCATGTTTATGCCTTTAGCCCCAAATATCCTCTCAATCCATCGCCCAAATCAGGTTCTGCCTTTAGTTTTGTTAAAATCATTTTGCGGGGGCTGGGTTGGGTTGAGGTCGGGTTTTGTGTGGTGGGGTGGGCCAGTAACGTTCGCTTGTCTTGCAACGTGTTTCCTTCTTCGTTATCAACATTGCTCTAATGCCACGCTGTTGACGGTGTGGTAACGGGGTGGGACGTTGACATCAACTTGAAGTTGTAAACGGTATTCACTCAGCGTCTTAAGGCTTGAATGCCTCAACGTCATATTGAAAAACTGGGTGGCGTGAAAACCATGCTCCTGTCTTTGTAATAAACCGCTTTTCCTGCCCTACTGCGAGTCAAACTCCGGACCTACCTACTTACACTACACAAGGCAACTCTTTGTAACTGATCTTCAAAGGTCTGATCGAACTCTGACGAACTGGAAGAAACCTGCCCGATTGCTTTTTACAACATGCCATCTACGGTTCTGACGCAAGAAGGACGTATTGTTGCGGGATGTGGCACTGCGAAAACGCATGACGATCTTCGAGCCGTTGTGATGTTTGTCGACTGTTCAACTCCCCCCGTCGCCACCAAGCTACCTGGCACAAGCTCCCAGCGGTTCGTGCCAAACGCCTGCAGCAGTAGCCCTGAACCCAGAAAAAGATAGAGCAGAAATGCAATGAAGATGAGGAACGTCTGCAAGTAGTCCTCTTCCCGATGGGCCAAACCGATTGGAGAAGTGGCAACATTGTGTCAATTCGGACTAAATCATCAGAGAAATAGGGAAAGCATCTGAGGAGTCTGCAGCCAAGAGTCAACCACGACGGAATGCCCATGCGCAGGCTTTGAAAAGCGATCACAAAGAAGGATCATGACATTGATTGCAATTCGAACAACAAGGAAAACTCCGATCACCAGCAGTGCGACGACATAGAGAAGTACAACGGTAAAAGGCGCTCCCTGTTTCCAAAGGGCAACAACGAAGTCCACGTGCAGATTAATCACGGGGGACATGATCAACAGCGCATACGTCTCGGGCAATACACTGCGGGTCATCGGTCCAAGTAACTCTTCTCGCAGGGACCCCCTCACATAACTCACGAAGGCTTCTTTGCTTCCGTACAACTGGTCAATGGTGGCATATATAAATTCGCAGTCAGAGTCACTCACGCACCGCGCGGAATCCAACTCAAACTGCTGAAACTGAGAAAACAACTTATGTTTTTGCACGAAGCTTCTCCGAAGGCGATGGACAAGAACCAGAAAGGGTAAAGAGATGATGGGCAAAGCGAACAAAACTCTTGTAGACCCACCTGCACGGAGAACCATCTGCACACTTGCTGCACACAAGTTTGAGATGTAGAAAAGCACCACTGTGGTCTCGAGGAAAATTGGGGCCATCACAACCGTCCCGTCAGGGTTGATCTTCTTGAAAGTGGCAAGTTCGAAGACCTGAGTGGACACTCGAGAAGACACGTTAACCTCACAAGAACATGTTATCCAGTGATGTTTAATCCCGACATACTGAACATATCTTGGTCCAACGACGGGTTATCATTCATCGGGGAATATCACGGCCAGGATGTGTGGCAAGGGGCGCACCACAGACGTGACAAATACAGGTCGGTCCATACGATGCGCAACTCCTTCGACACCCGCAAGAAGCCTCCAATACCCCGAATACCTCGAGTCATCAGCGCCTCGTTTGATTGGCTAACGCAGGCAGCATCGATGAAGCACATGTCGCTTTTGCATCGCGGCAAGTACGGGGACAGCAAAAATCCCAAGGCTGTCCCGAGGAATCCAAGTATCATCGACCAAGGTCCCAAGGCGCAAACTTCTGAGAAGGCCTCGGTGTTGGGAGAAAGTCTCAAGGGCAGGGGCAGCAAGTCCGCGTAAGACATTGCAGCTGCAGCGACATTTCCTTGGAGGTTTGGGGTTTGTGCACAAAAACTGTGGAGCATTGTGGAACCAAAGGAAATGCACATCTGCCGACTCCCGACACCGACCGGGACCAGCAGTCGCCGGACATTGCAGAAACCGCTTGTTCGGCATCATTGAGGTTGTCTTGTTTTTCTTTGCTGCCTGCTGGGTCACCGGAAAACTGATAGGAACGGCTGTTCAGCATGATCGACATTCTGGCGCTTTTGCGGGCGAGCACGGCTGGTAAACCCAGGGCACCAGCACGCAAGGTCAATTTGTCACGTCGCACGCATGGTAGTTAGAATTGACCTTGCCCATGTTTCATCATCATCAAACCGTGTCCCCCCCTACGCTTTTAGCAACATTCTAAAACAGCACCTCAAAACAGCATATTTTCAACAATCAACATTTCAAGAAAGGTAATATCCTAGTTAGTTTATCCAATATTTGTATATTCAAAAAATGTTCAAGAATTATTTGTTGCAACATAGTTACTTTTGTTTAAGATGTTTACCACAAAAAAAAGTATTTTGCAGAATGTTCAATTATTCAAGTTTCCAAAGTTTTCAAAACTTGAATTTTACAAAATATTCAAAACATATTGTTCCAAAGCTATAACAAAATAGTTCACAACGAACTTCTGACTAATTGTCTAACCATATTACAAAAATATTATAGGCAAGGTGTCCCTCTGGGGGAAATATTGGAAAATATTGGGAAGTTATTTTCATTTATAATTATTCTTTTTGTATTCTGGGGGAAATATTACCTATGGACTTGAGGAGCGGGTGAACGAAAGCTAGCAGTTGTTGCATGAGATGGGTCGGTGACAGAGTGGATTCATAGGTAGCTTGTGTACAACGAGAGGCCCGGCAAGATTCGTAGGATGCGACACGCAAACGCACATGGTGGCGTGGCAAACCTTGAAAAATGAAAACAACGAGAGGCGTCAGAAGCTGTCTGAAAGCACCTCTGGGTTCTGCATGCTGCGTGTGCAAAGATTCTTGCGAGGTGGTTTACCGAGAAGACTGAGGTCTCAAATGAACAAGCTGAATCGGTGGAACATGTAAAAGTTCGTAGCACCAAGTCCAAAACGGGCAAACCGAGACTGCTGAACACTGAGCCACTGCCCGGGGGGGGGGGATGGACCAGGGAGGAATCGAGCCTGAGACCCGGGAGGGGGGAGGGGGGGGGAGGGGGGGAGGGGGGGGGGGGGGGAAAAAATGTAGAAAAGGCTGGTCCTAAGGGGAAAATGACAAATGTTGAGGGATTTCTTTGAGTATTGTTTTTCAACAGTTTAACCATCTTATTCGTTTTCACTACCCATGTTTCAAGCCATGTTTCATTTTGTGTTTCTCGGGGTGATGTTTTATTTCGTTTTGAAAGAGGTTAGAACTTTTAGTAGTTTCATCGATTGGGGTGTTGGCGGGTCTTCTGGTTTTCCTATTCTTTGTTTATGTCGTATTCAAAATCTGATGAGGTTTCAATGTAATCTCTTATCTCTTCCTGTGTTGTTTGCTGTTTGTATTCTTTTGTTGCTTCTTCAGTCTTTGGTGGTTTTGGATTATTAACATTGTTGATGTGTTTGTTTGTTCTTTCGTGCTTTGCTTTCCGACTAAGTGAGACCATACACCTACAATATTGACATTCAATTTTCCTTTGGTTGTATTCTTTACTGTATTCTTTCTGGTATTGCTGTTTGTGTTCTTTGTTGTTTTCATAATATTCCTTCGCTTTTTGGCTAAGTGTTTCTTTATTTCTTTCTCTGTATCTCTGTTTGCTTTCGAGACATATATTACATTGTTTCCTTTCTTCTTTGAACCTTTCTAGCGGTTGAATGACTTTACATTTTGAACACTGCTTTTTGTCAGTCATATATCCTTAAATATTAAGGGGTCTAGTCTTTAAATTAATTCAGGGGTATTTATAGATTAAAAGTTCACTATAATTATAACATATAAGAATATAAATGATATAATTATGGTTTAGTTTTGAATTATACAGGTTCATCAACAATTAGTTTAAACTTTATGCTTTTGACTCCTCTAAACTCCGTTCTACTTCTTTCTTCATCAATACAACTGTTTATTTCTTGATACGACGCCGTCATTACTTCAGATAAATTATCTATGGTTACATTATCTACAACAAAATCACTATGAAAACATAAATAACGAAAGCATTGTGATACTCCACCCAAATCAAAGCAATCACCCACACCGCACAGAGCAAAAACCCACACCACGCAGAGCAAAAATCCACACCACGCAGAGCAAAAACCCACACCACGCAGAGCAAAAACCCACACCACGCAGAGCAAAAACCCGCACAACCCACATAAATTGACCATTTCAACAGTCCTCACCATGTAGAGCTGAAAACCACAAAGCAAACCAGAAATGACCTTCTACTGGCTTGATGATGGGGTGGCAGTGCTTGGAGTTGCAATAGGATTTTGTCAGTCACAGACCAAGGTTGCAGAGAGTGGAAAAAGACCGAGTGAACCGTTCTGATGGCTTCATATTTCTCTTTCTTTGTTTATTCTCCCTCTATGACCCATGGGTGGATTATTGGACACGGCTGTTTGATGAAACGGAGACCCTTTTGATGTTATACCCCGTCCCGTGTCCAATAATTGCCCAAACACCCCCTCAAAGGCAACAGGCATCAACGTAGGGAACACACAGGCAGGTCTGACGGTTGCTCAACGAGATGAATTACCCAAACCCCAAATAGGAAAGCAACCGTCAGTGCTGATTTGATTGGTCGATGCAGAGAATATGCTGGTGATGCATCTCACACGCGTCTAATGGCGGTCTTCCTCAACCCTCACATTTGTTGAATCACTTATCCAAGGTGGCAGGGAGCGAATGGTGGCTGATGAATACGTATACCTGCCAAGACCTTGGATAAGAGATTACCACAGTTTGTGTTTTCATAAGGCTGACGCCTACGATGCTGTTCTTGACGCTGTTGATGCTGGTTGCTGGTGATGCTGGACAACTAAATAATTCTAATAATTTCATATTATTAGAATTATTTAGATATTTATTTTATGGAAAAGTGCCCATACGGGATTGAATTGAAAGCATCAATATAAAACCTTTTATTTTCATAATTACTGAGTGATTGCTTGACTTGAGACATTGAATAAATCTGATGAGTGCGACTTCTAATGAAGTTGTAGGAGATTTCATGTTTTTTGTTGTGATGCAGTGCTTCATGATAGTTCTGATAGGTCAGTTCCTTCTTCACCTTGTGCTTGACGACACCTTTGGATTTCTTGTGTTCCTCATCCTCGCCGTGGATTGTGAAAGCATAGGATTTAGGTTTCAACCCGATAAATCTAGTGATGATTTTTCCATTGACTTCATCTTTGTACATTCCTAAGACCTTCTTATTTGTTGTGTCATGGCATGGATGTTCAACAGGATAATCACTAAAATCCATATGTTGCTTGATACCTTGAAAATCCTTGTAGACATCATCAGTGAAGGTTTGAATTACATAACTGTCAGTATCGGTATATATCAATTTGATATTTTCGTTGTATTTCTTTTTCAACACACCATAGTAAAACTCATACATATGTAATTTACTCAAATCCAAAATTGTCATTCCTAAGAATATAGGTTTATCAAGTTTCAAGACCGACTTTGTCTTTTCCACTCCTACCAGATTTTCATTAATGATAAATCTATTTTTGAAAGTAGGATTATTCACGCATTTTTCATACCTAACATCATTATCTACCAGTTCAAAATCCATATGTTTTCTTTTGTCTTCCATAGTTTTTCCATACACCGCGTTATTCATTAATTTAAACAAATCCTTCTCAAAGTCGCTCTTCGCTTCTTTCCTTTTGCCTGTGTTGAAGTCAATCCATGGCTTCAACCAAGCCCTCTGTTGAAATTTTATTATCCTATGAACCTTGGTGAGTTTCATACCCATTTTTAGATAATACTGTAAAGTCTTGATATGAACAACATATTTTTCTTTATCTTTCAAATTTAATATTAACTTGCTGGTTTTCTCATCCTTCGGTTCTTTGTTTCCATAGTAGATTTTGTAGATTTCCTTTTGATAGTCTGACAACATATTAGCATTGACATTCATTATTTCCGGTGCTAGTGGATAGTCCGAATGGTAGTCATGTAGTGTTTCTGGATATTCCAAATCCACTTCAAGGATGAAACCATACTCATCTTTTTCATCCCACTTTTCAATGTTAGGTGTTTTCTTTGACCATTTGATGTTCTTTAAAGGCAATTTTTGAGACATTGCCAGACCATACAGATTGTTAGCATCTAAGTAATTGATATAACTTGACGGCTTGTTTTCATCGAAGGCTTCATCCATATACTTATTGTTTGCCTCAGCCAGTTTATGACTGACCTGACACATGCCTCCTCTCATTCCCTGTTCAACCATCTCATACATTTCTTTATCATGCAACTGCTCAATTTCAACACCAGTTTTCAACAACATAGCTTCCCAAGCGAAGTTAGGAAGGTATAATAGTGTGCGGGGTCCAAACCGTAGTATTCCATACATAAGTCTCTAAAGTTTTCAAAAACATCAGTCAATAATAAAACATCGGTTCTCAAATACAAATCGTGATATTGTCCTAATGTTCTAATACCGAAGTGTTTCCAAACCTTTTGTGCCCTTTCATAATCTTTGTCGTTGACATGTTCCTCACTTAATTTACTGTAGAACGCTTCTTTTGATGGTAAGTTTCTTTCAGTAAATCTGTCAAAACTATCAAAATAGTCATAAGGATAAATCCCCTTGTCAGTCAACAAGTCCAAATCTTCATCGGTTTTAACATATGGATTTCTAACACTGTATCTAAAATTGTTCTTCCAGTTCTCACGCCTTTTATCATCTTCATACTTACTCAACTTCACCAACTTATCCAACGAAGACGATAAGAAGCTAAAACTGTCCTTGAAACAAAGGTTTTTAAAACCAAAGGTTATGAACTTCTCGCTGTTCTGT